TAAGCTGAAGGAGATTTTTGTTGTGGCCAACGTGAAGCAGCCACTTGTGGCCCTTATGGCTATGGGCAAGTGGATGAAGAAAGGCTGGATGATCCAGAATGTCAAGGACAAGTTCTACCTGCGGCGCAACACCTGACTCTGGGGACAGTCAGCTATGTCATGGACGTTTCTGACGAGCTCAAGGCCATGGCCGAAGAACCTGGCTGGCATGAGCTGAGCGATGGAGCACCTGTTTGGGTGGTCAAGAACGTGTTGACTTTGCAGGACATCTCAAGATGGTATGACCCTCATGAGTTACCTTGCAGGACAACACTGGTGAAGCTGGAGAGTGGCGAGTATGACTGTGTCGAGAGCGCGTAGTTTTGTATAGACAGGAGGATGTCAGAGCTGGATGGGTCGTCCATCAGCAAAAAAGTCATTGCAACTTTCCCTTCAACAGGGATCATTCGTCCTTGAGCGTCTCGAAGCAATGCTCCACCTTGGGTCTTCTTGCCCAAGCTGCCCATGTTCATGGGCACCACACTCACATCTGCACCCAAGTCGAGTACCGTGCCTGGGTGAAGTTGTCCTCCATGCCCCAGTGGTCGTCCATGTCAGTCATGGTGAGGTCAAAGTGCTCAACCATGTCCTCCTCGGTGACCATCATCTCAAAGCCTTCAGTGAAGCTCTCTTCAATGTCGATCTCTCCAACATGGGAGGTGTCTTGATCTCCCAAATCCTTCTCACCGTGCCAGCACTCCTGTATGAAGTGTTGCTGCTTGGTGCCGTGCTTGCCGAAGACGATAAAGTCGTCGTGGAAGGTCATGAGGGTTGCCCTTGCCAACATTCAGCTGCTCTGTGGCCTGTCTTGCCACACACAAAGCAAGCTCCCTTCGACTTGCCCTTGCCTTTGTCTTGGCTCTTGCCGCTTCCTTTTCCTTGGCCCTTCTGGTCAGAAGAGCCCTTGCCTTTGCCTTTGCTCTTGCCTTTGTCACCCTTGCCTTTGGGTGAGCCTTTCTTGCCTTTGCCCTTTCCGTTGTGGTCGCCCTTGATGCGATCCACCTCCATTGGCGCAATCTGGTTGCGCTCGAGGATCTTGGTGCTTGACCAGGCAGCTGTCGATTGCTCGTAGGCCACCATCGATTCTCTCACCTGTGCATAGCGAGTGCCGGGCTTCGCGTTCAGCTGCAAATGCTGTCGCAGCTGTCCAGGGCAACAGCGCATGACCATTGCTATCTTCAAGTTCTCATCCAAGGAGCTTCCTGCCAGCCGCTCGTACTCGCCGACCAGCTTCTCATACTTCATGATCCCTTCAAGGATCTTGGCCTTATCGAACTGCGGAAAGGGTCACCAATGCCTGGATGATTCCAAGCTCTCTCTGCCTTGTCTTGGGCTGGAACCCCCAACAAAGCCCTTGCCAGGCCCGAAAGCCATCAGTCTCAGTGACACTCCGGACGATCCTGAGATTCACGAAGCTCACCAAGTAGGCGTAAAGCTTCTTTGCTCTCTTCTGAACATCCTCCTTGTATTCTATGAGTGGTCTTGCTCCAAGTCCTTCTCCTCACGCTCCAGGTCGTTCATGAACTCCTCAATGACCCTTCAGGCCATGTGGATTGTTCTTCATCCACAGCTTCACCAGGGTGCGAGGATCTTCTCCTTCTAATTGTCTCCCAGCTTCTGAAGTGTCTGGGCACAGATTCTCGTGAATCCATGGAGCTCTGTCACCACTTGCTCCATGCCAGCCATGAGCTTTCAGCTCTTGCTCTTCCTCCAGTGACCTTCACCTTCAAGCAGTCTCTGGCACCGATTGCTCCGCCGCCAGCCACCACCTGCCAGCTGCAGATATGGTGTCAAGGGGCTTGTGAGGATCTGGGTCCTGTCCTCGCGGGATTCGGTCCTGTCCCTGGAACTCACCTGAAACTCACTCGAGCAGCAGCGGCCTCGTAAGGCGTGTTTGGGTCCATCTCAACATGTCCTATGACATGGAGGTATGTGCACATTTTCTCTCACGCACACAATGTTACATTCTGGCATATCTTTTGACTTTCTTTCGGGCATTCTTGCTGGCCATATCTATTGATTGATATTCTTTCTGACACTTTTTCTGGCATATCTTCTGACATTCTTTCTGGCATCTCTTCTGACATTCATTCTTGCATTCTACCTGGCATATCTTCTGACATATCTTCGTCCACATGAAGAAAGGCAGGAACAAGAGAAACTCAATGGCAAATCCGACGTTCCCTTTCATGATAACTCAATACGTGCTGGTTTTTTGGAATAGGCAAACCTTCCTTTGAATGGGTTTCAGTCGGATTCGACTTTGACCAGGAAGTCTACACAGCATCGTTTCTCGTCTCCCCTTTATTAAAGGCGCCTTCTCGCCTGCCAAGAGCCCTGGAAAGGCCAGGTCAGGCAACCTGGCCAACGGCCACCGGTCCAGGCTTGGGAATGTGAGTTGCACACGCGCAAAACCATACCAAACCTTTGACATTCTCATCAAACTTCTCGGGGGGGTCGATGATCTTGCTCCAACCAGAAACAGGTCCTCCCAACAAAAAAGGGAGATCGGATGGACATCGGAACCGGTCCTAAATGCCCCCGGCCCGGGCCCCGCCCAACGACGAACTCGGTTCTTTCAGAAGTGTCCGGCGCAGATCGGGCGTCTCGCTCGGAACGGCGCCAGGGTTTTCATGCCTGTCGCCCTGCGGTTGTACGTTTCGGGACAGTATCTTGAAAGGATGGGCTGTCCTGTTGCAGATGCGGTCCATCAGTGGTGCAGGACCTTGCCCCGCGGCGTCATGTGGAGGAAGCCATCGATGTGAATTTCTACAAATCAGTGGCCAGTTGGAAACTTGAACAAGTTTCTATGGCACCTGCAGCACCTTACAGTTTTACGCAAACCATTTTAGGAATCCAAACCGGAACATCCAAACCCCGCCATGTTCGTCTTCCCCCTCTCACCGGTCCGGAAAAGAAGCTCCACCAGCTTCGCGCCCCGAAGGTATGAAGAAACGCATGCCGAAGAGACCCGGGCTTCTCACCTGCCGTCGCTGGAGCACGCTACGTCGCTACGTCTGAATGGCAATGGGGCATATATGCAATGCCCGATGCCCAGGTCGCATCCGGGGAACCAAAAAGCGAAAGAATGGACACGCCCAACATGACGCGTCCTATTTCGGCCCCACATGGCTCGCAAGGTGGTCCTAGTGAATGGTGCCATGTGGTGCACGGAATCTTTCTGGGGAAAGGGAAGACTGTGGCGAAAAACCTAGGAACGGCGGCAGCCCAGCAAACAAGCTGGGGGCCTTTTTACCCATCGGGTCAGTGAGGAGGCTTCAGCTGCAAGAGCCCTCCCAACACGGTTTGAAATAGAAACAGTTATCCCGGCAAGAGACCCCAAACAGTTTGTGTGTGAGGTCTAGAGGTGTAGAAGCAGAAAGTCTAGAGATCTAGACGCGTTGGGATGGTGGTGATGAAGGTGGAGATCGTGGTGATGGTGCAGGTGGGTGAGTGAGTGCACGAGTGATTGTGAGCGTGTGTGAGTGTGAGCGTGTGTGAGTGCGCGTGTGAGTGAGAGTGAGCATCTGAGAGCACAAAGTGCTGCGCCTGCCACGAAACCTGCACTTCAAGATTCACATGCGCCCCTGACAAGGCATTTTGCCGCAAGAGCGCTTCCTAAGACAACATCAAGATACCCAAACGCAGCTTTCGCGCGAGACTTCCCCCGATTCTGAAAACGAATCTGAAACACGTGTCCAAAACTCACGACTCACTGCCCCTGTCATGAAATTAGAGCGCGTCGAAGATCTGCCATGTCCAAAGTGCTGCGCCTGCCACGAGATCTGCATTTCGAAGTAAAGCCGCGACCAAGACACGAGGTTTCCCTTGCGCCTACCGCGAAAGTGACCACCATGTCCGAAAATGCGCGCGGCACCACAACGAGAGCACAGTCGCGACAAGCACCCTCCGCGCCCCACCAGATTCTGCGAGCCTGCGCAGTCGAAATGCACTTCAAAGATTTCGAGGCATGAATGTACTGTACATAAGCGACCTAGCCGCGCACGCCCGCGCGACACCTCGATTAGACACCGGCTTTAGACTTACCGTAAGAACCCCTAGTGACCACGCTATTTGGGGAATCTTCCTTTGAGTTACTAATGGGAATAGCATCTAACCGAATGGCGATGGCCTCTACCCTAGAAGCAACCTACTAGTTGGTTAGAGGTCCAGTTCCACAATCTTTGGTACCAAAGTGTTCAGGAAATTCATGGCTCGCGTGATATCAAAAAGACACATCTTTCAAAAGAAGTCGACTTGACTCCCCCGCGAATAATTGGTTTTCAAGGGCAACGTGGAAAGGCCGTGTGTCATGGTTTCACCATGTTTCAGGGCACGGCCAGTAGCAAGAAGCTACGTTCGTAGCAATTTGCTATACTAGTAGTAACGGCCCCTGTTACGTTCGTAGCTTCTAACACCTCTTCGACGCATGGCTGAAATTTCTCAACCTTCGACTGGCATTCGGCACCGGACCTGAGGAGCTAAGCAGCGAACATCGAGGTTAGACATCAAACGGTACCAATTGGTGCCTTCACGCTTCTTGTTACGTTCGTAGCTACTTGCTCCTAATAGTACGGCCAGGAGCTCCTTGTAGCGACGCCAGGAGCCCCGCAGGAGCCCCTAGTAGCTACCTGCTACCCCTCGAACCAAGACATCAAACCCTTTGATGATCGGCTTCCCCATGGATGTCGGGCCTGCCACTTGGATGTCGGGCCTGGAGGGCGGGCGCCAGCCGTCCAGAGCTGCGAGACTGAGAGGGGCCAGGAGCTACCAGCAGCCTCTTGCTATTAGCAGCGATGCCCTTTGCTCCTAGTAGCTTCTTGCTCCTAGTAGTAAGGCCAGGAGCCCCGAACGTAGCGTTTTCGACGTGGGAACTGGTGGACTGGGTGGTTTGTGGCGGCGCCGTTGTCCGATGTGCCATGCAGGATTGCTTCGGTGTGACGCGGTCCTGGCGACACAACCTAAGAGCGATGACCTCCAACCCGAAGAGCAATGGCCTCCAACCTACTAGCGATGGCCTCCAACCTAAGAGCGATGACCTCCAACCTAAGAGCCATGGCCTCCAACCTACTAGCGATGGCCGCCAACCCAAGAGCGATGACCTCCAACCTAGAAGCAACGGCCTCCAGCCTAGAAGCGATGGCCGCCAACCTTAAATTTTTTTGGAGTCTGCTTAACCATACTCTTCGCCGAACATCTCTACCTTTCGCGGCGTCTTTTTTCCCGAGATATCGCTATACAGTCTTGATCTCTTACGTACAGAACTAAATGTTAAGTTGCCTCACAATCTAGGAACCAAATCATTAGCGCGAGCTATCCTGCATCCTGTCAGCAGTAGCTACTTGTAGGTACTAGCTACGGCCTCCCCCCTGCGCGCGCGCGCGCGAAAAAGCTCCTACGACAGCCATTCCTTCCTCTATCTAGCTACTACCTAGCTACTAGCTACCTACCTCTACGGCTTACAAAAAAAGAAAGAGTCTCTCTCTCTCTATATATATATAAACAATCTTCTCGTAATCTCGTAGAGAACTTTTTGAGTGCATTCAGCTGTCTTCCATTCCGCCCCAAAGAGCCTTGATTTTTCCACCACGCTTGGAAACCCAGTTCTAACTAGAAACAAAAAGACCTCAATTCCCCAGTTCCAGCCAGTTTGTATGCAAAAGCCTATAATTTCCATGTTGGAACGAAAAGGACACCACATGGACTCCCACAGATCGTCTCCGCAGAAAACAGGGCTTGGCATGCGTCATCACCCCAGTCTGCTATCTTTTGGTGGGTATTCTTCACTCAGGTTCCTTCGAGAGATCCGGACCAAAGATATGAAGCAAACCAGCTTCCAACCAGTATGCTCATTCGTAGTTTCGATCAATACGCGAAATGCACCTTTGGTTCGTCTGCGCGAAAAGCTTTGGAATTAAACTTCTCGACTCCAGCATCCCCTGCTCTTCTTCTGATCGAAGGAAAAACGTAAGTTCATGATACGTTCGGGATTGCTTCTTAATTTCCAAACGTCCATTGATGAGATCACTTCGCTGATTCGAACATCCCTCCCATCTCAGTTGCCCTGAGCTGCAGGCTTGGCGTAGCCTCACAGTGGCTAAGTTGCTACAAGAAATTATAGGCATCAAAATCGAAAGAGGAGACAAAACAAGCAACAAAGAACCCCTATACTACTCACACCTTGTCTCCCACCCGAAAACATAGAAAGCAGGTTTTTTCTTGATTCGCCATGATTTGACCTTCCCAAAGCACTCTTGTGACAAGCCTTGATTGCCCTTGGGCCCAAAGCCTTGGGATTTTTGTTTATCGCTCTTTGCAAACAACATTGTACGGCATTGCCGTGCCCAAACACTTGCCATGACCGTGTCGCTTAGCATCCAAGGAAGTGTTGAACTGAAAAGCTCCAGTTCAGTCCAGTTCAGCACTGTCAGGGCTCTTGTTGCTTGAGCAATGAAAGCTGGATACAGTCACTCAATGATCAACACACTGTGTGAACATGGCAACAGCAACAACATACTTCGCGTGATTGAGGTCCCAGGAAAAAATGGACCCTAAAACGCCGAGAGCTGGAACCGGAACCTCTCACTGAAAGTGTTCCAAATCACCTTTTCGACCGGTCATGACTGCCCACGCACTTGGCTGAAATCTTCTCCCAATTGTTACTAGTAGCGTCTTGTTACTAGTAATGCCAGGAGCTACTAGTAGCGATGGCTTACAACCAATTTTCGATGGCCTCCACCCTAATAGCAATGGCCTCCATCCAGTTAGCGAGGCCCTTTGCTCTTATAGTAGCGTTCTTGTAAGGCCAGGAGCCCTCGAACCTAGCGTCTGATCGCTACGATCGCTTCTCGCTACGCCTCCACGGCATTGTCCCCGCCTGGCAGCGGGACTGCCTGTGCCGTCGGTGTCCCGGGTGGGAGCGGTGCAGCCGCAGACAGGGGCGTAGCCACCACCACGGCTGCCGGTGTGGGCGGTGCCAGGGAGGCGGTGACGGCATCCTGGGAGAGGCTGGAGGCCGCTCTTAGGTTGGAGGCCATTGCTATTCGGCTCAAAATACAAGGTGAATTCTTTTTCAATCGTTTTCCCCAAGATCTTCACCCAAAGATCGCCACACCGGTCTAGACCATCCAGACCAGCGAACGCTCCTCGGCCGTGCTGTGGGGCCTTGGCGCGCAGATTCCGCGCGGTCCGCCCGGTTTGTTTCGGTTCCAGCGAAGGAAGGGTTTCGGTTTGTTTCGGTCCAAATTTTGAGTTCGTCCAATGTTGGGTGCAATTCAAATGCAATTGAAGTGTAGGTTGGAGGCTATCGCTATTAGGTTCCTTTTGGTTTAGTGGTATTTTCTTGTTCTTCTTTGAATTTCTCTTATCCATAATTGCAGAAGAACGATGGCATCGTAGGACCTTGGATCAAACTTCTTTGACCTTGTTTGTCTTGTCTCCCTGGATCTTCTAGGGGTCCGTCACCATGTCTGTCCTTAGAGGTTCTCTGATGGCTTTCCGTTTCACTTCTCTCTTCTTTATCTCCTTGGATGACGGAACCATGCCAACCGTTGTGTCTGAACCCGTGCGCGCACTTGTGAACTGGATGAATCAGTCAACCATTACCAACACCAGGCCACCCTGGAAAAACACAACGAATATGAAAGGTTGGCGCGCCACAACCGGCGTGCCCGAGCGAGTGACGACCCCCGCGCTGCACGGAGGAGCTCTGGGTGGGCCCAACGTGCCAAGGCTAAGTCCAGCCCTGAGCCCTTCTGCCTTTGCCTCAGGTGATTGAAGGAGAAGACTGGAGCCAAGTCGTTGAAAGAGCTCGAAAAACAACTCGAGAAATTACAGAAATGACATCTTTTCCAAGCAAGTACTGGAGGAGGAACAAATATTGACCTGCCCCGTCTGATGATCCTAAGTATGAACTTTTTGGCTCCGCGAGCATGGACTTTCAAAGCAAACCCCACTTTCAATTCAACCTCCTAGCGGTGGCCTCCAACCTAGTAAGTGATGGCCTCCACCAGGGCGAGTTCTCGTTCTTTCCGGAGAAGACTGGAGCCAAGTCGCTGAACGAACTCCAAAAGACAGAACGAGGAATTCGCGGAAATCAGAAAGGAGGTCCTTGCCTTGTTGCTTGCCGTGTTCTTCCCCAGATAGCGACGCTATGAGGTTCTTACTTCAATTCGCAATGAGTTGCCCGTGCGCGCTTTCGAGACAGATTGCTGGTGCTGGGCACCGGGCGCCGGTACTGGGTGCCGGGTGCTGTGAGCTGGCTGTGCACGTGGCGGAGACAGGTTGATGGTGCTGGTGCCGGGTGCCGGCGCTGGTGCTGT